AAAAAAAAAAGAAGGGTGCTCATGACTTCCCAAGGCCACCCTGCCAAACAAACGCCACAGGGCTCGCTGTCCCCTTGGGCCAGCTCCAAACTCAACTCGGGGCTCCCCGGGCACCAGCACCAGCTCCTGTCTGGAACTGCCAGCCATGAGCCTGCCCGCAGCCGCACCCACTCCATCCCAGTGTGGGGCCTCCATTCCCCTCCCGCCCTGGCCTCCCCAGCTGCCCGGAGCGGCGGGCTGCCCTTGACCTCCCAGAGGGGAGATCCTCACCAGTCTTTGACGAAGGACTGAAAGTCCCCTGAGAAGCCCATGTGTCCAGGCAGAAGCGGGGGCTCCTCCTGCAGGACTTTGGTGAGGACCTCAAAGTCCGTCTTGCAGTTCTTGTAGGGAAACTGTCCCGTTGCCAACTCCACCTGTGAGGGGAGACGGGCAAGGCTGGACCAGCTGGGACAGGTTTGTGTTCTCCCTCTGAGTCTCACAGAAGCCCTCGTCCCTGGCTGGAGGCAGAGGCAGAACACTAACTCACCAATGAGATGCCCAGGCTCCACACGTCCGCCCGGATGTCATAGTCCGGCTTGGTGGGGTCTGGGGGGTCAATGCGCTCAGGCTGCAAGGAGAGGTGGGGAAGATGTACCTCCAAGGCTGGGGCCGGCCTCCCAGCACCCACCCCTCCCCTGCTGGAGGGCCCCCACTCACAGCCATGTAGGCAGCACAGCCCGCGCTCCGAGTCTTGGCTTTGGAGTCCACCAGGCGGCCGCTGATGCCGAAGTCGCAGAGCTTGATCTGACCCCGCTCATCCAGCAGGATGTTGGAGGGCTTGACGTCGCGGTGGATGACACCGTGCTTCTCCTTCAGGTAGAACAGCGCCTTCACAATCTGCAGGTGAGCAGGGGAGGGGGTGTGTGACGGGCGGGGGCACCGTCCAAGGCCACCCGCCCAGCACATGCCCCGCCTGGCTGCTCACCGCCACTGTCATCTTGCCCAGGATGCGCTCGGGGATGGGGCCCTGCATCCGCTTCTTGAGCTTCTCAGCACAGGTGCCCATGAGCTCCATGGCAATGAAGACGTCTGTCTGCAGGAAGGGGGCACGCAGGGGAGCTGTGTCTTCCAGCCCTCCCCCCAGCAGCTCTGCTCCCAGGGAAGGGACAACGGGTGAGAGAGGTGGAGACCCTGCACGTGGGGGGCAGGGGGCGCCTGGCATGGCAGGGAACTCACGTTGGTGATGAAGGTGCCGAAGCACTGCACGATGTAGGGGCAGTCATGGCTCTTGAGCACCACGTCCAGGTCCATGAGGATGCGCTTGTTCTCCTCCTTGTTCCCCGAGCGCCGCATTTGCTACAAGGGCAGGGACAAGAGGAATGGGAGGGAGCCTTAGCACCAGCCCGGTACACAGGGCCTGGCCCGGGTGGCCGCCAAGGCTCACCTTGACGGCAATGACATGGCCCGTCTTCCGGAAGCGCATCTTCCACACCTGGCCACAGGTGCCGCTGCCCATCTCGCCCAAGTTCTCCAGGTCATTGATTTCTGCCTGGTATCGCTGGGAGGAGAGGGAGAGGTGGAGGATCCCCGGGGCCTCTGCCACCACCCCCCTGTCCCCCACCGGTACCCCCAGGATGGGCCCTGCCTGGCTGGGCCTCCTCCCTCCCACCGCCTCAGTGAAGGTGGTACCTGGCCTCCGATGGTCAGGTAGCCCGTCTGCTTCATGATCTCCTGCAGCTTCTGGTCAATCTCAATGCTGGGGACACAGAGTGGGTGCTGGTGGAGACAGGTCCTGACCAACCTAAGGCCACCCCAGACCCCCACACTGGGGTTCCCACCAGTTTAACCATCCTCCTCCCAGGGCTGGCATGGTAGCCCCCTCAACACTGCTGCCCATCCACCCTGTGGGGCCCCTGGCTCACCTCTCCATGCTGCGGGGCGTGAACAGGGTTGACGGGAGCCCCAACATGTGGCGGGGCCGGGCGGGGGGCATGGGGTGCTGCGGGGAGCTCTCAGAGGATGGCGAGCGGCTGCCCCCATCGTTGGCCAGCGGGAGCTGCAGGGCTGGGGGGGTGAGACCAGTGGCGGGGAAGGGGGGTCAGCATCCAGCTGGTCTCAGCTCCACATCTGGCACTCCAGGGAGGGGTCAGGACCCTCAGCTTCACCTACAGCACTTCCCCAGCTAGCCCGGCACAGCCCCCTGCCCTGCAGGGCTGAAGCTGGGGTCTCCCTCCCACCCCAGACTGTCCTCAGAGTCCCTTCTCTCATCCCCTGACCATGGAGGAGGCTGGCAGGGAGAGGGGGCCCAAGTCTACGCTGACAGAGAACTGAGACGGGAACCTGGGGTGTCCCTTGGGTGGGCGGCCTCCTTGGCGGGTGTGTCCACTTCCTCCCACTTCTGCCCAGGAAGCAGGCCCAGGGCCGCAGTGCCCACAGGCTGGATAGGCGAGGGCGGAGTGCCTGCCGGGGCTGGCCCAAGCTATGGCCCTGCTGGTAGCAGTGAACATGGCACCCAAACAAGAGTGAGGGGGGCCACCCTGAGGAGGCAGTGGGCACGAGACTCAGGCTTCAGGCTGCCTTGCCCCACATTCTGCTCCGGGGTCGGGGAAGGCCCCCTTGGGCCTGTGGGCTGACATGGGGGCCTCCCGGCCTGGCCTGCAGAGCTGGGACCCATGGGGGCAGAACAGAACCTCAGGGGGCCTGCATCCTTTGGGAGGGGAACTTGGGGGCACAGCTCCTGCAGGGGCTGGCAGGACGAGGTAGGGGCAATGCTGGACCAGGCGGGGGTCGGCTCATCCAGCAGCCTGCATGCGGGCAGCTTGGGCATGCTACAGCAGGTGGGCAGGCGGCAGGCAGGCAGCGGGCACCCCGGGGCAGGAAGGCAGTATTAGGGGTGGGAGGGCAGGAGACAGACAGAGAGGAGCCAAGACTTGGCCCAGGTGCCCAGAGGAGGCGCTGCAGAGACAGGCCAGAGAGGGGCCTGGGACAGGAGGGCAGCTTCCCGGAGGAGCAAGGGGTCTCCCTGGCTGGGCTGGCAACCGGGTACAGTAACAGAGGCCAGGAGGCTAACGTGGCTTCCAGAGGAGCCAGTCCTGACACCTCACACCCTAGAGGCCCTGGCAACGGCTACAAACACCTCCCAAGGCACCGCTCCCACAGAGGCTGGGGCCTGCCATCCTGCCAAAGCCCTCTGAGGACACCCCTCTCCCTCTCTCCTCCTCTCTTCCTCCTGCCTCGTCTGCCTTTTCTCTCCACAGTTCTGCGGGCTCCTGGTCTAACTCAGACAAACTCACCCCACGCCAGCAGCTGGGCTCCGTCCCTCTGCTGTGGGCCTGGGACCCTGATCTCTTGCAGCAGGAGAGGCAGGAAGACCCTGACCTCAGTCCCAATGTGGGAGGTCCAGCACTGCCCCTACCTGGTCCCGCCAGCTCCTGCAGCAGCAGTGCCCCTTAGCTCCCCTCCCAGAGGACCACACAGGGGCCAGGGAAGGGGTCTGGGGACCCAGGACACAGCCAGGCCCAGCATTCAGGACTGGCCTAGAGCCTCGCCTCCCATGCCCCTCCCACCGTCCTGGCCGCTGCAGCCTCGGCACCGCCACATCGGCACCCTCTGTGCTTTTTTTTTTTTTTTTGAGGTAGGTCCTTGCTCTGTTTCCCAAGCTGGGGTGCAGTGGTGTGATCTCATCTCACTATAACCTCCACCTCCCGGTTCAAGTCATGCTCCTGCCTCAGCCTCCTGAGTAGCTGGGATTACAGGCGCCCAACACCATGCCCAGCTTGTATTTTTAGAAGAGATGGGGTCTTGCTGTGTTGGCTAGGCTTCTCCCCCTGCCTCTTCAGGTCCCTGGCACCTCTGCTTTACCCATGGCCTGAGCCACAGCCCTGATCCCTCTCTGGCTCCTGAGGGCCTGTGCTCCCTGCATACCCAGTCCCCAACCCCTCTGCACCTGGCGTCTCTTCAGACACTGCCTGGTTCCCACCCTCAGAGATTATCCGAGTCCTGTTCCCGCCCCACACCATCGGCTCTCATGGGGTAAGGACCACATCCCTCGAGAAGTCCTGTGGGTCCCCTCCCTGGCGCAGGCCACCAGGCCTTCTGAGGGTGGCCCCAGAGCCCATGGAGGAGGCTGCCGGCCCACAGACTAGAGCACAGGAGAATGTAGGTAGGGGAGGGCTCGGGTCAGCGTGGGAGGAAGGAAGTATACAAAGGACCTGAGAACAGAGGCCACAGAGGTGGTGACAGCCACATGGCGGCTTAGGAGGGTGGAGTGAGAGCAAGAGGGTGAGGATGAGAGAGAGAGAGAATGGATGAGAGACAGCGAGAGGCTAGAGGGCACGCATCTGCCAACATGAGCCACAAGTGTGCAGGCTGCCACATCAACATGCATGCACACATCGTGCAAATGCGCACACCCACAACACACACGTGGGGTGCCATGGCTCCAACACCCATGCAGCCAGGACACAGTCCCCTTGCCCACTGGGGACACACACACACACACACACACACACACACACACACACACTCACAACCACACACAGGGCCGGACATCCCATCTAGCCTCTCTTCCAACACAGGTGTGCAAGCTCAGGGCCCCAGCAGGGCTGTCTTCTCTCCCCTCACCTCCTTCAAGATGGGTTTAAAAAACAATTTTTTTTTTGAGATGGACGCTCACTCTGTCACCCAGGCTGGAGCGCAATGTGTGATCTCGGCTCACTACAATTTTTGCCTCCTGGACTCAAGTGATTCTCCTGCCTCAGCCTTCTGAGTAGCTGGGATTACAAGTGCATGCCACCATGCCTGGCTAATTTTTGTATGTTTAGTAGAAATACAAAATTAGTAGAAACAGGGTTTCACCATGGTCAGGCGGGTACCGAGCTCCTGACCTCATGATTCGCCTGCCTCAGCCTCCCAAAGGGCTAAGATTACAGGAGTGAGCCACTTCATGCAGCATTTTTTTTTTTTTTTTTTTTTTTTTTTGAGATGGAGTGTTGCTCTGTCACCCAGGTTGGAGTGCAGTAGTGTAATCTTGGCTCACTGCAACCTCTACCTCCTGGGTTCAAGAGATTCTTGTGTCTCAGCTTCTCTAGTAGCTGGGATTACAGGTGTCTGCCACCACACCTGGCTAATCTCTTGTATTTTTTATGGAACAGGGTTTCACCATGTTGGCCAGTCTGGTCTCGAATTCCTGACCTCAAGTGATCCACCCTCCTTGGCCTCCCAAAGTGCTGAAATTACAGGCATGAGCCACTGCACCTGGCCTGTTTTTTAAAATTTTTGAGACAGGATCTGGCTCTGTCACCTAGGCTGGGGTGCAGTGGTGTGATAATGGCGCACTGTATCTTCAACCTAGTGGGCTCAGGTGATCCTCCTGCCTCAGTCTCCCAAGTAGCTGGGTTTATAGGTGTGCACCACCGTAACCGACTAATTAAAAAAATTTTTTGCAGTCGTCCTAAAAAATCTAAAAAAATAAAAATAAAATTTTTTTTAGTAGAGACGAGATCTTGCTATGTTGCCTAGGCTGATCCTGAACTCCTAGGCGCAAGTGATCCTCCTGTCTTGCCCTCCTGGAGTGTTGGGATTACAGGTGTGAGCCACTGTGCCTGGCCTCCCCAGAGGCTTTGTTCAAAATCCCACCTTCTCCAGAGGTTCCCCCGAGACTGGTCCCATGCAGGGCCACTCACCCAGCTAGAATGTTCTCTCTAGTGGGAATGTGCTCCCTGTCCAGTGGGCCCCCCTACTGCAGCCCCCGCTACAGAGGAGAGGGGCTTCGTCTGTTCTATTCACCGCTGTGTCCCTGGCGCCCAGGGCAGGAGTGGCACCCAGGAGGGTGCTATGTGTTCACGTCATTGTTGAGAGAGATCCACAGGCACAGGCCACCCACCAGGACCAACTTTCTCTTTCTCTCAGTTACATACACACAGGCATGCACCCCCCTCCCAGTCAGTGGGGGAGCCCACATCCCCCTCCAGGGAGTTCAAAGTGGAGCCGAGAGAAAGGGCGGGGAGAAGGGTGGAGGACACAGAGGAGGCCGGGCTGGGCTGACTGCTGCTCAAGTAGAATGAGAGAGAAAGTGAGAGTGAGGGTAGGGGACATGGGGAGACACACAGAGCACGGGGGCTGGGGGACAGCATTCTGCGGCTGGGGGAGCGGTTAGGTCAATGGTGCAGATGTCCAAGCAGCGATGATAAAAAGGCTGGTACCTGCTCGTTGGGACGGGGCAGGAGCAGGGCTTAGAGTGATCACAATAACTGGATGGGGAAAAGGAAGAAAAAAAACAACACCACGATAAATCACAACAGAAACGACCAATTCGTCCAAAAGAAAAGAAATCAAATCATAAACGAGGAGGAGCGGGAGGCACCGAACTGCAGAGATGGCTGGGAACCGACAGAGATGGGGAGGACGGGGAGGATGGGATGGAGCTGACACAGACACAGACGCCTGGAGGGGACTCCTCGGGGGCCTGCCTGCCAAGGGCCTCCTAGCTCTGCATGGAAACGGCCACCCCTGAAGGCACCCGCGGCCCTAGACCCAACCCTGCCTCATCTACTCAGGGGCCAGGTAGGGCAGCGCCCAGGGGCTAGCAGGGATCTCCCTTGTCTTGCGAGGGCTTCTTGTCCAAGGCAGTGTCCAACACCAGAATCTCCACCTCCATGATTTATCTGGGCCCCCAAGAGACTCCCCAAGGAGGATACCATGCTGACTCAGGTCAGGAGAGGGAGGGACAGGAGGGTGTCAGGCTGTGAAGGTCAGGCTGGGTGACCAGGGAATGGGTGGGATGCCCAGATTCAGGGGGTACCTTCTTCCCCTATCATAATGACTCCATAGAGAGCTACATAAACTACAAAGGTCATATTGGATGAGACATGAGAGCATTTCACTGGGTCAAGACAGACACAAAAAGGATCATGGGTCAGGGGTGGCTTTCACAGGGTTTGAAAATCTGATTCTCTCCAGCCCAGATAATTCAGAGACCAGGCTCTTGGGGAAAAAGCTGGGAGACTAGATATGGTCAGTGTTCCCAGGTCAGGTGCATGTGGAGTGGGAGGTATTGGTCTAGGAAGATAAGACGTCAGGGAGGTAGGTCCCAATTTGGTGGGATTCATCAGAAAACAGGTGGATGGATGTCTGCTGCGGGGTGGGGAGCAGGCCTAGATAAAGTCATATTGGCCTCAGGTGTTCCCAAGTCAGGTAAGTGTGAAGGAAAGGAAGCCATCATTTGAGCCCAGGTGACAAAGTTGCTGTGATGGCTGGGGGGTCGATATGCATTTCTGGAGAGGTCAGACACACGCTCACCAAAATGGTGGCAGTGAAACTGTTAACAGGGGTTTGAGGGGGCCGGGTATACGTGGGAGGGGGTCTGCTGAGCCAAAGTTATTGTCACTAGGGGGAAGAAGGGACCCCCGTCCCACCCCCCCACCCCCACCCCAGACAGGGTCACAGGGAGAGCGAGAGGGAAAATCCTCGGGTCAGAAGAGATGGGGAGGGGCTCTATGTGGTCAAGTGACCTCAGGTGTCCCCAGGGCAGGCGTGCGCCTGTGCGTGGATCGTCCGCTACAAGGGCTGACAAACTCCTAGGCCGGGGTGGGGCGCGCTGGGCAGTCCCTGAGATGACGGGAGTGGTAACATCGGGTCAAAAAGGACGTGTCTGTGTTTTAGGGGCCACCTGGATGTGATCACGGACGCGTGGAGTCCGGGGAGCCCGACCCAAAGGATGACAGCGATGGGGGCGGGTCATCAGCGGGGGGCCTCGCCTGGGTCCGGGAACTGGGCTCCCAGGCCCTGAGGGTGCGAATTCCCCGGAGCTCGCCGGCCCTACGCCCCCCGGATCACCGTGACCCTCGCCCCGCGAGCCCACAACGGGGGGGACGGAGAAGAGGAGCGCGAGCGCCCCGGAAGCGGGGGCGGGGCCTGGCGGCGGGGGCGGGGCCTCCCGCGGCGCGCGCCCCGCCCCGCCTGCCCCCTCCCCCACGGCGCCGTGCTTACTGGGCCTGGGCCGCTGTGGGCTGATATCCAGGTTGAGGTCGATCCTCCGCCGGGCCTCCCGGTTCTCCTGCTTCAGCTTTGCTTCCAGGCGGGACAGCTTCTGCTCCAGGGAGGACGCCGCCATCTTCCCCGCCGCCACCGCCGCCGCTCACCGCCCGGCCGCCCGTCAGTCCGGCAGACAAACACCGCACTGCGCCTGCGTCTAGATGACCCCGCCGAGCCGCCGTCTCGCCCCACATGGCGCATGCCCGCGGCGCGCACCCGCCCTTCCCCAGCTGCGAGCCTCCGCGCGTGCGTGCTTCGGCTCAGCCCGAAGGATGACGCCACCTAGAGCTCGAGGCAGGCAACGTGCAACCCCCCTTGTCGCCACCACCGTGGTGCGCATGCGCCAATTCCCGAGCGCTCCGGAGAGAGGCAAGGAAACCCATCATTCTAGTGAGGGCGGTGGGCGGGGGAAGCGGCGCGCATGCGTACGGAGGGGAACCCGTGTTCGCGCGCGTGGTTTCTGTGCATGCGCGTTCCTGGAACCTGTTTCTGAAGTAGCGGTCTACACCTGGTCTGCCCGGCGGTGCAGCCTCAGCCGCCTCCTCGCTCTTCTAGTCGGCTTGGGCGTCCTTTCAGAATGCCTTCCTCACGAATGGTGCTTTGTTAGGATTCCTCCTGTGTTTAATTGCCTCCTAGCCTCCCGCTGGCAGCGGGGTTCCGGCTCCTCACTGTAGTTAGGCTCCGTCCGGAGCCCTTTCCCTTCTTGTCGGTCCCACCAGGCTCAGAGTTGGCTAAAGCCAGGCAGGAGGGGACGGCCGTGGGAACCCGTGGCGTGACTGCTGACGCCGGCGACGGGGCCAAGGTCAAGGCCAGACTTCTTGGCCTCACCCATATGGAACCTCAAGTCTCCCCCTTTATCGCTCTCACACCTGAAACGTGAGCCCAGCGCCTGGACGTGCAGAATTCCTATCCTATCTGACGACGGGCCCTCGGGTTAGGTGCTCGGTGCCTGGGCCCCCAGCAGCCTAAACCACTCCTTTAAGTGGTCTGAGGGGTGCTGGGGAAATGTCCCATCTGGAACGCAGGGTTCCCCCAAGAGCAGCTTCTCTCTGCTCTTAGATGCCAGAAAATTTCCGATTTTGCAGACATCTGGGAGGTGGCCAGGACCAGGCGGACTGTGCCAAGTGCCCTTCCAGCTCCTGGTCCAACGAGTGAACACTTAGGGATGAGTGTTCCAGGCTTGTCGGAACTCCACTGGTGATGACTTGTGGGTGGAGTGCACACAAGCGTAGAGTTACAGCTGAGATCTTTACTTTCCCGTCTTCCAGGTGGCCTTCTGTGCCTCTATGAGAACAAGAGACTCATCCTTGATTCTGGCACACGGGTGTTGCTTGGCCACATGAAATAAAAGGTTAATATTATGGCCGGGCACGGTGGCTCACATGTGTAATCCTAGCACTTTGGGAGGCCAAGGTGGGCGGCTCACTTGAGGTCAGGAGTTTGAGACCAACCTGGCCGAACTGGCGAAAACCCCGTCTCTACTAAAATTACAAAAAAAGCTGGGCATGGTATTTTTGGAGCCTGTAATCCCCGCTACTCGGGAAGCTGAGGCAGAATTGCTTGAATCGGGGAGACAGAGTTTGCAATGAGCCGAGATCTTGCCACTGCACTCCAGCCTGGGCAAGCAAGACTTTGTCTCAGAAATAAACAAATAGACCAGACACGGTGGCTCACGCCTGTAATCCCAGCACTTTGGGAGGATGAAATGGGGGGATCACCTGAGGTTAGGAGTTTGAGACCAGCCTAGCCAACATGGTGAAACCCCTTGTCTACTAAAAATACAAAATTCAGCCAGGTGTGGTGGTGGGTGCCTGTAATCCCAGCTACTCAGGAGGCTGAGGCAGGAGAATCACTGGAACCTGGGAATCAGAGGTTGCAGTGAGCCAAGATCATGCCACTGCACTCCAGACTCAGCAACAGAGCGAGACTCCATCTCAAAAAGACAAACAAACAAAAATAAATAAAAGATTAATATTGTTTACTTATTTTTAGACACAGTATCTTGTTCTATTGCCCAGGCTGGAGTGCAGTGATGCAATCACAGCTCAATGCAGCCTCAACCTCCTGGGTCCTGGGCTCAAGCAGTCCTCCTGCTTCTGCCGCCATAGTAGCTGGGACCACAGGCCCACATCAGCACACCTGGCCAACTATTTTTTGTAGAGATGATATCTCATTATGTGCCCAAGCTGGTCTCAAACTTATGAGCTCAAGTGCTCCTCCCACCTCAGCCTCCCAAAGCACTGGGATTACAAGCATGAGCCTCTATGCCTGGCCCTAATAAAAGGTTTGAGACAACGACAGGAGTGCACATAAGAGATCAAAACTAGGGCCAGGTGCGTGACTCACGCCTGTAATCCCATCACTCTGGGAGGCCAAGGCAGGTGGATGACCTGAGGTCGGGAGTTCCAGACCAGCCTGATCAACATGGAGAAACCCCATCTCTACTAAAAATACAAAATTAGCTGGGTGTGGTGATACGTGCCTATTATCCCAGCTACTTGGGAGGCTGAGGCAGGAGAATCGCTTGAACCTGGGAAGTGGAGGTTTCGGTCAGCTGAGATTGCGCCATTGGCAACAGGAACAAAATTCTGTCTCAAAAAGAAAAAGAGATCAAAACTAGAATTCGCATAATTATTATTTATTAAGCACCCACTGGCATGTGCTCCCTCTCATAGGGAACAGTCAAGACCAAAGTCCCTGCCTGTCCTTGGAAAAATGTCACCTCTCTAGCAGGTGTCCTAACCCTGAAATCCACCCACCTTAGGAAGTCCTTGAATAGCTCTGTGGGGAAATTTATCTGCTGCCTAAAGAGCTTTGTGTGTATTGTACACCAGCATTTTCCTGAGTAAGGAGGTGCCTGGTTTCATCAGTTTCTCAAAGGGTCTAGGACCTCAAAAGGGATCAGAATTTAGATACTTGGATTTTTTTTGGGGGGGGGGGCAGAGGTGGGGTCTCGCTATGTTGCCAACTGATCTTGAACTCCTAAGCTCAACCGGTCCTCCTGCCTGGGCTTCCCAAAGTGCTGGGATTACAGGCATGAACCACAGCACCCAGCCCCGATACCTTTACATCAGCATTTCCCGACATACCATCCCAGGACCACTTACCTACGCCAGAACTACCTGGAACACTTACTTAGGAACAGACTCCTGGCCCTTATCCAAACCTCCTGAGTCAGTCTTTCAGGGGTGGGGCCTGGGATATTTTGTTTTGCCCCAATTCCCAAGTTGATTTTGATGCTTAGCCAAATGAGAACCATTGTCCTGAGCTCACATATCCACGGCAAACAACTGTGTCTGTGTCCTCTCCTTGGGAGAGAACCCCAGTTGTAAGTTGCTTTGTTTGTTGCATGGGAGGGGGAGTATTGGAAATCCCACTGGGATGTGTCCTTTCCCCCATATTTGGCACGAATTGAGCTAGAATATCCAGGGAGAGGCAGCAGTTCTGATCTAGGGATGGGAGCAAGGCCAGCCAGCCTGCCAGAGACACAGGTGTGGTTTTGGTCGGGAATCCCATGACTGAGTTAATCCCTCCATACCAGGTTCCACCCCAAATCCACAACATCCGGTCCCTCTTCCCAGACAAACCTGCCCCAGATCCTGCCCGGGCCCCAGAAGGCTGACACGGTCTGTCCCTCCTCTCCTGGCCTGGGCCTACTTGGCTTCCTGTCTTGGAAGACCATGGTTGAGACTCCAGGGAGGAAACGTTTTTAAGGCTTTACCTAAAACGACCCCACCCCAGGTTCATTCCTCCTCCATCTTGTCACGCACCTCTGCCGGCAGACCCTGGTATAGGGTGTCTTCCACCAGGAGTCCTGCCTTCTTGAGCCCCCCACAGTTGCCAAGTTCTTCTGGCAGCATCTCTAAACGGTTGCCTTTGAGTTCCAGGCGGCTGAGGGCTCTGAGGGCACCCACTTGGGGCGAGAGCTGGGTCAGCTGGTTGTCGCCCAGAAGCAACGTCCGCAGCTTGCGGCAGAAGAAGAGCTCGTCAGGCAGGGCATCCAGGGCATTATAGGAGAGGGCCAGGTGCTGTAGATTCTGCAGGAGGCCCACCTCGGGCGGCAGGGAGTGGAGCCCGTTGTGGGACACATCCAGCAGACGGAGGCCCGAGCACAGGCCGAGCTGGGAAGGCAGGGTCTCCAGCTTGTTGTAGCTCAGGTAGAGCTGCTCCAGGCTCTTGAGCTTGCGCACATGCTCGGGGACGTAGGCGATCTGGTTGTGCCACAGCCTGAGTGTGACCAGCTTCCGGCAGTGCTGGAAGCTGAGGATTTCCTCAATGGAGCGAAGGTGGTTGTCCTTGAGGTCAAGTTCCTGCAGCGCACCCAGGCTGAACACCGCATGGGGGATGCGCTCCAGCCCGCAGGCCACCAGCTCCAGCTCCCGCAACGCCACCAGCTTCTTTAGGCTGTTCAGGGCCACCAGGCGGGCCCCATCATTGTGCAGGCTGAGCCTCTGCAGGTGTCCGGCGACGTCGGTCACACTGGCCGGCACCTTCCCAGCATTGCTTCGGAGGGACAACACCTTGAGCTGCTTCAGCTCCCGGAGGCTCTCCAGGGTGGCTGCCCGAGCCAGCTCCTGGGGGAAGAGCCCCTCCAGGTGCAGCTCCTCCAAGCTGCGCAGCCCAAACACCCAAAGCGGCACCTCGCGGAGCTCCTCGCATTTGACGCGCATCACCTTCAGGTGGTCCCGCAGGAAGACCTGCAAGGAGAAGGGTAGCCTGGCGGGCGAGTGGAGCAAGCTGAGCTCCTGCAAGTGCACCAGTTGCGACAGCCCCGGGGGGAAGGTGATATCGCAGATGGCCTCCAGCCGGAGCGACTCCACCTCACTGAGCTCGAAGACAGTGTCGGGCAGTCCCGGAAGCATGCAGAGGGCCAGCTCCAGCCGGCCCCCGGTGTTGCGCTGCAGCTTCTGCCGAAGCTTCTCGGGCGTCCACTCGTGGTTGAGATTGAGCTGCTTTAGGCGGCTTTCACTGACCTCAGACAAGAAGACGGCAAAGCGCTTGGAGTAGAGCGAGTCGTACTGATCGATGAGGTGCAGCATGAAGGCGAAGTCGTTCTTGACGTCAGGAATGTCCCCCATGCCAGTCTCCTCCCGCACGGAACGGAAGGAGTACTCCTTAAGGGGCCGATGGAAGAGCCAGTAGAGCGTGTAGATGCAGGTGA